ATAGGGATTTGACAATTAAGGAGATAGCATAAGGATTTGACAGACCAAAGCACAAATCCAACTCGTGGGAAAAAAAAAACTTTGATTATAAAGCTTCACCTTCTAACACTATGAATAAAAAAACCTTGATTATGGAAGAACCAAGACCAATGTATATCTATAGTGAAAGAAAAACTAATGCTATGAACGGGACAATTGGAAGAAAGACTTTTCAATTGATAACTCCCTTAGGAAACATAAAACAAAATTTTGCAATAACCTTTCAAGTGAGACAACAACCAAATACTAATTTTTTCAAAAAAAAATCTCAACATGTTTACAATGAAGAATTCAGCCCCTTTATATAGGGGGAGGGGAGCACGAATTTCAACCTTAATAAGAGAGAAAATGATCTCCCAATTATTCTAATCACATATCTTAAGAAGATAACATACGATTTGACAATTATCAAGATAACATAGGGATTTGAAAGACCAAAACACAAATCCAACTTTTGGAAGAAAACCTTGATTATAAAGCACAACCTTCTAACACTATGAATTACAAAACCTTGATTATGGAAGAACCAAGACCAATGTATATCTATAGTGAAAGAAAAACTAACGCTATGGATGCCACAATTGGAAGAAACACTTTTCAATCGATAAGTTCCTTAGGAAACACAAAACAAAAATTTGCAATAACCTGTCAAGTAAGACAACAACCCAATACTAATTTTTTAAAAAAAAATCTCAACATGTTTACAATGAAGAATTCAGCCCCTTTATATAGGGAGGAGGGGAGGACGAATTTCAATCTTAATAAGAGACAAAAGGATCTCCCAATTATTATATTCTCATATCTTAAGGAGATAATATACGGATTTGACAATTAAGGAGATAACATAGGGATTTGACAAACCAAAGCACAAATCCAACTTGTGGAAGGAAACCTTGATTATAAAGTTCCACCTTCAAACACTATGAATTAAAAAACCTTGCTTATGGAAGAACCAAGACCAATGTATATCTATAGTGAAAGAAAAACTAATGCTACAAACGCCACAATTGGAAGAAATAATTTTCAATTGATAAGTCCCTTAGGAAACACAAAACAAAAATTTGCAATAACCTGTCAAGTGAGACAATAACAACCTGATACTAATTTTTTTAAAAAAAATCTCAACATGTTTACAATGAAGAATTCAGCCCCTTTATATAGGGAGGAGGGGAGCACGAATTTCAACCTTAATAAAAGAGAAAAGGAACTCCAAATTATTCTAATCCCATATCTTTAGGAGATAATATAGAGATTTGACAATTAAGACTATTAACTACTAAGAATCAAATCATATCAAATCAATTTTTCATCTTGGACCTTATACAATAAGCCAAGTGATACGAATCTTGAGGCAAATGTGACAAATTTATCTCGACGTGAAAATTATAAATTTTTCGAGACTTAAAAACTTGCAGATTTAAGAGTAAAAACTCCAAAACACACCAAAAAAACAGACAAGAGATGCAAACCAAAAAAATTTGCACCAAGAAGAGATGAAAAAGGTTTAGAAGACGATGGAAGTGTTATGGCTAGCAATCGAATCAGTTACCTCTATAACAATCATATCCCTTAAATTTATGGTAGAACGGCTAGCGAAATGGCTCCAATGAACAAACTAACAAAGCTCCACACGCATAGAAACACCTACTCTACGCACGCGCATCAACAAAGCACAAACAAGTGTGCAAGGCACTAATCTTCGAAAATAATAGAAAAAAAAACAAAGAGTTTCCTCTCGTCTTGTGTTGAAAAATCAAATTCATCAAAGGTACATTGAAAAGCTGGTCGAACCCCCCTATTTATAGTAGAGGGTGACTCGAAAATTCTCCTAAGAATTAGTATAAGAATTTGATCTCTAACTTTATTCCTACTCTAATGAATTATAAATCAAATTGACCTCTAATTGACAACTTGTATCTTTATCTATTAAGACAATATATCTAGACACATTTATAGACTTAAGATACATTAGTCTAATAAAACTCCTAATAAAAAGAAATTTAGTAAAAGAATCTTATGCTTATCTTGAAAAGGATTTTTCGGAGTTGTCAACTCTATCAATGTATTCTTTGTAGAGTAATCATGGCTATCCAATCGTGATATATCCTTCATCTAACTATTGAGAGTTTGCATCAAGGAATAGACTTGTTATTGTGAACAAACTCAAAAATAGATAGAAGAAATATCAAATCTTATCCTTCCATATGTATGATAAGATTTAAGGGCTTGCTTGGACAAGTTTTGTTTTGCCTTTTTGTCTCATTTTACCTCTTAAAACACCTCTCAAACACCAAACCCAGTACTATCCAAACAACTTTTTAATTTACTTTTTAAAATTTATTTCAAACATTATTTTTACACAATTTTCATCCACAATCACCGAACCACTTTCGCCGCCACCAAAACGCCCACCGCCATCGCCGACCGACCTGATTCCGGCCAAATTTTGGCCAACTCGCCGGTATTTGGCCAAAATCCGGCCGGCCGGCGGTCCAACGGCAGCGATTGGCGGTCCGGCGGCGGCTCTGGTGGTGGAGGTGGTCCGGTGGTAGTCTAAAAATATTATTATTTTATTTAAAATATAACCCAAATAATTTTTTAAATTTTATCTCAAACCACATTTTAAATCACATCTCAAACCTAAATTAAAAACTAAAACAAAATGTTGGCCAAACAGGCACTAAATGATCTTATCCCTAAGAGAAAGGGGTTCTTCCAACTCGGGAGATGAGGCTAGCCTCCTTGCTTGGACTGTGGGCCAAACTTTCCTTCCTTAAATGGGTCTTATTTGGGCTTGCAACTACCAGACTTGATGTTCTTTTGGCCCAAACTATTTGATATAAGATTATTAAGTGCACTCTTCATTTTTTTTACTCCTAGTTCGAGTCATTAGGTCTCCAATGTTGGATAAAGGATCTTGAACCACACCTTGAGCTTGGACTTTACTTGGAACCTGAAGACCTTGATCACGTTAGTCTTGATCACCTTGGATGTTCATATCACCAAGTAAGGAGACAAAATAAAATTCCTAATGCAAAGAAATATTTACTGAAAAGAATCTCCTCTATGCTTGTGATGTGTGAATACAATCTTTTTAAGTGTGAACTCAATCAATATCAACTTTGTAGAGTGATCATAGCCATCCATCTTGATATTTATCCATCCAATAATGTAGTAGACATCAAATTGAAGATTTCTTATTAAAAACCCCACCAAAAACTCGAAATTAAGTAAAATGATGAATTTGCCCTTTTCAATAAAAAGATAGTTTTGCCCTTTAGATTTTCGGCCCTTCTAAAGATCTTCCCAATTTGACCTTCTAATCATGATTCTCACCCCTTGATGCTTTCACATTCAGAATGAGAATAAGAAAAATTAGTTTTAAAACAATTTAACTATCCAAAGAAAACATAATAAAAACGGTTTTCAAGATCACCTAGACCTGAAAGACAAAGATAATCATTACTCCATGAATAATCTTCCAAAATGGACTCCTCAGTTGAAACATTATAAAGATGAAAACTTCATAATAAATGTATTTGACTCATTCTAACATGCCATCTTTGGAACAATTCGGCCACCATATTCATGTTTCTTGTTTGCTGATGACTTAACCCTAACTTATAAGAGAGAATATTCAAAAATATTTCTTGACAAATCTTTTCTATTCTCACTCGTAGGAAGGAAATCCAAAAGACAATTCTGACTCAAAATTCTTAATTCTATTTTAACCTAAAAGAAAATAAAACTTACCTCATTAAGCAAGAGAAAAGGACAAAAAGACCCTTAAAGACTCTTAATTTGTATACTTTAAGCCAAGTTCAAGATGTTGGAGGAGCCCAAGACTGATGAAGTTAATTCACAGCTCAAGGAGTAATTCAAGATCCATTATCCAACATTATTGGCCCAATAACCCGTGCAAGAGCAAAGAAAATGAATACTACACCTAATAATCTTATAGCAACTAGTTTGTCCATGAGAATGTCGAATTTGGAGATTACAAGCCAATGATTAATGTTAATGTGATGGAAGTACTACAATCAAACCGATTTGGCCCATTTGATGAAGGAAAAATCGGCCCTCATCCAAGGAAGATGGCCAACCTTATCTCCTAATTTATAGATGTTGGAAGAATCCTTATTTTTTGGAGCTAATATGATTCAAATCTTCTTGCACTCATGGTAGGACAAGATTTGATATGATTCTCTTTTAGTTGTGTTTGATTTTGTTCACAATAAAAAGTCTACCTATTGATGTCTACTTAACTATTGGATAGAAGTTACATCAAGATTGATGAATAAGATTACTCTACAAAAACATATTGATTTAGTTCACATTCAAAGAAGATTCTTTCCTATCGAGCTAATTCTATTCGCACGTATGGAGGACTCTTTTATGATGACCTCTTATACACGTAGAAATTAAAAATATATATTACAAATAAAAGAAAAAATAAAAATTACAAAAGATGTAATTAATAAATAGTAAAACAAAAAAGAATGACAAATTTATTTTCAATAAAATAACGTTATCTAAAAATTATTTCAAAAAAAAAGAAGAAAAATAAAAAAGAAAGAAAATTGCGGGACCAAATGAGAATTGAGGGACAAAATGTTGTTAATTCTAACTAGAGGGAGAAAAAAGATAAAGATAATAAATGGTTATTTTTGCATAAAACGTTCAATGTCCCTAATTTTAACGAAAAATTGTTGACTAACGAAATCATTGATTTCGAATACTTTTCATAACTGTAGTGATCTCTGGGGGAATTAAACTTTAGTAATGATTAAATCGCAAGTTTACGATGGCTTAGTGATTATCCGGGCAGCTCATTCTTGAATTTTAGTTAACAACAAAAAATATTTCTTGTGTTTTATTTATCCTGAGGCAAATTTCACATTGATATAATGCTTATGTTGAGAAACAAAGACTTCAAAAAAAAACTAGTGAACAGTATAACCGTTGAACTAAACTAATTCAATAAACTTGCGGACTTTTGAGTACTATTTTTTGAGGAAATACTTACTGGTTAAACAGACCTTATTCTTGTTTTGAGGTGAAATAATATTATTTTAAGCTAATCATTTTAGCTTATGTATCCACAATCAAGGAAGTTAACCATTTCAACGAGAGAGGGAGAAAGGAAGCCATACCAAAGACCATGACAGATGACACATTTTGATTCCCACGAATTCCACCATTCATCAAATAAAAACACTTCACTTTCATTAGATATTCATTCTTTTCTTTTCTTTTTTCTCCTAAACTTTTCCACAACTTCCACAAGAAAGTCACCAAAAAAGGGAAGAACAATCAATGGAGCCGGAAGTTTCATGGTAAGTTAACACAACTCTTTTAAAAAATTGACTAAAGAATTTTCAACATTAACACAAACACACTTATCCTCTTCACTTTTATTCTCTTCCCTTGCAAAAGCCCTTTTTGATCTCAACTTTCTCCCACACACAGGTTTGAATCCAGTGAGATGTTAGCCACGCTGTTGGCTTCAACACCATTAGTGGAAGAATCATGGAAGCTGTGTAGCCAAGCCAATCGTGAAGCCCAACAGAGTTATATCATCAAACAGTTTGGGGGCGTTTGTTATGTGGCCTTTTCTGGGGTCCAAAACCTTGCCGGGTTCGACCCGAATTGCAGTTTCTTGGTTCCGATCCACAGCAATGGTTTGTTTTCTGGGTTGCATCAAGAACAAGTTGAAGAAGATGATGACCATGTACAAGGAAAGGCGGCTATGGTTCATGCTGGTTTGTTGCATCTTTTCCTGTCCTTTTACAATAACCCATCCTTCCAATCCCAGGTAATACTATACTAATAATATCTTCTTTTCTTACTCCTTTCAATTCTCATGAGATGAGATGTTCTTTTTTGGTTTTGCAAATTTCTGTGTTTCAATTGAATTTTTGAAACAACTTCTTCTTTTTAACTACTCTCCTGTCTTAAAATAATTGTTTTAAAAGGAGAGTAATATATTTTTTCAATTTAATTACCTTTTGAGAGTTTAATCGAAGATCTCACTAAAATTATTACATCATATATCCATTTATTACTTGTTTTTGATCCTTACTATCGAATGTTATACTCCCAAAATGATTATTATACCTAATTTTTCACTTTTGATATCATCTGTATTAAAAATAAAAATTTAAACTGAACAATTATTTCGGGACAAAGAGAATAATAAGTTCAATAATTTCATGCTCTTTTATAATCTTTCTAAATTCCAAAATGATGTTGTATCATTTGCTAAATTAAATTGCATTTTCTCAAAACTGAAGCGAAATTGGAGATTTGTGAAAAAGACAAGACAACCGTCCCAATTTCTTTTGTCCATACACTTACTCCATCTTTTTTCGTAGACTTGACCTCTTATTTTCGAAGCAATAATAATGAAGTCCTTTAGTCGTCTCTTCACAAACTGTTACTGTCGTCATTGGATGTTATGGCATTAGGGCCGGCTATAGAGCTAAGCATTAGACTAAACCCCTACTAGTTTTAGGTCTCAGTTTTATATTCTAATCACATTTTTAACCGGGCTTATTCAATTAATTATTTTTGGAACAATAAAAATGCATTCTATTACGTTCGATATTATTATCGCGAGTTTAAGCCAAGCATTTAGTCAAATGATTTACGTTACTAAGCAAACTTATTACGCAATAATCATCGTTTGAATCTGAAAATGTTTAAAAAAAAATGAAAATAATAATAATAATAATAATAGGATGTCATTGCCGTGTGCTGCCTTCCTTCTCGAAGATAATTGAATTAGTGGCACTCAGTTGACTGCACGTCTTTTCTTTTTCTTTGTTTTCTTTTTAACTAGGCGCCAATAATTTCATTAGATTCTTTCAATCAAATCATATTCCATGATAAATAGAGGTTCAATTCAAAGAAAAGAAAGAAAAAGATACTATTAAGAAAGTTTGGTACGTGTTTTTGCCACTTCCACCATTTATATTTGTTCTATCATTTCTTCGTTTATATTGAACTTTTAATCTTCTGTTTCATCCACAAAGCAAATGAACCAATGGCTTTCCACCCATTCTGAACAAGGGCCCAAAAATTTTTTTTGAAAATATATAATAATATCATTAATTTCAGAACTGCAATTCATTTTATAATTAAAGATTAAAAAAAACAGAATCTCCCAATAACATTGTCAATTATTGTTGTTTATTTGTGTTTTTGCAAAACATGTTCAATCTTTTTAAGTAATTGTGTCCAACTGTCCAATATATACAATTTCGTATATGTTATTAGAAAATGAAACTATGACAACTCTTCAGCAACCTTCCAACATTGATCACTGATTTGCATAGAGGACTAAAATAGATAAATTTTCTTCCTTGCCCCAAATTAGATTTCAAACCCGGTAGTTTAGATATTAAGGGCTGAAATGAATCTAATAATGACAGGACCCAAAAAATTTTAACTAAATTCTATTCCCTCAAACTCCTTATATCTCAAAATGACTGTCTAGTTGAACTAAAAGTGAAAATTAGTATCAAACAATCATTTCATAAGGGAGGAAGTAATTTTAAGGGCATGAATATCAAAACTAGCATTAAACATCAGCTTACGTGAGCCGAACCTCACAAAAGGAAACAAAACAAAAACAGTTTAGTTATTATACTTGGTTAGTTGAACAAACATATATTCTTTTGTTTGGTATGAGGCCAGGTTCAAACCTCGTTGCAATCAATCAATTTATTTCATTTTATTAAATTTTTTGAGTCAAGCTTTTTCAAGTAACATCTTCAAATCATGTGTTGCTGTTTAGCCTATTAGTTATTATTGCCTGTCAGAGAAAAGAACCAATGTGTTGTAATTTATGAACTAATTACGTGATGGAAAATCCTGTATTTGCCAACATTTTTGTATGCATGTTATGCAGATTATGGAAATCACAAGTAAGAGCAAATCAGTGGTATTCAGTGGACACTCAGTTGGAGGAACCATTGCTTCTCTCGCAGCTCTTTGGCTTCTCTCCTCTCTGCACTTAATTTCCTCCTCTCTAGCTGTTATTTGTATTACTTTTGGCTCACCAATGTTGGGGAATGAATCGCTTTCGAAAGCCATCCTCCAAGAAAGATGGGGAGGAAACTTTCTTCATGTTGTCGGACAACACGATATAGTCCCAAGGCTTCTTTTCACCCCTTTACCTAGACTTAATCCACATTTGCATCACTTCTTTGATTTCTGGCAGTTCTCGATGGCTTCTCAGTTCTTTAAGCAGCATTCAGTCCAGTTTTGTGATGAAAGAGCCGCAGCTGACTTGTTCCATGTCGTGCTGAATTCTCTTGAAGAACAGACAAGAGGCATACAAAATTCTCCGTTTTGGCCATTTGGGAGCTACATTTTCTGTACCGGCAAGGGATCTATTTCTGTGGATAATGCAGTTTCTGTAGTTAAGTTGCTATATATGATGTTGGGGAAAAGTTCTCCAAGTTCTACCATCGACGATCACCTTAATTATGAAAATTATGTAAGCCGAATCTCCTGGCAAATTCTGAGTAGCAACGACTTCATGGAAGGCGATCTACCTGAGTCAAGTTATGAAGCTGGGATTACTCTGGCATTGCAATCATCGGACATTGCTCCTTGTGTAAGAGTTTAGAGAGACAAAATGCATGCTATTAATATTTTTCTCTTTATTAACTTACATTCAGCAAAAACAATTAATATAAACTAAAACAGAACTTGACAGAAAAGATAGAAGTACTCTGTATGGTCAATGTTTAATCAGTCTTCTAATTTCTTGGAAATTTTCTATCACAGGAGCCGGTTTTTGGAGCAGCAAAAGATTGCTTGAAGATGGCGAAACAGATGGGTCGCACGCCGAGCCTCAACTGTGCCAATCTTGCAATAGGTTTATCAAAGATCACACCATTGAGAGCACAGATTGAGTGGTACAAAGCAACTTGTGATGCCTCTGATGATCAAATGGGCTACTATGATTCATTCAAGCAAAGAGGTGCCTCAAAGAAAGAGTTTAAAGTGAACATGAATAGGCACAAACTTGCCAGGTTTTGGAATGATGTGATTTCCATGTTGGAGAGCAATCAGCTACCTCATGATTTTCACAAGAGATTAAAGTGGGTGAATGCTTCTCATTTCTACAAACTCCTAGTTGAGCCGTTAGACATTGCAGAATATTACAAATCAGGAGAGCATTTGAGGAAAGGTCACTACATGTCACATGGAAGGCCGAAGAGGTACAAGATCTTTGATAAGTGGTGGAATGACGCAGAGGCTTCTGCAAATCCTGGTAACTCGAGGAGTAGCTTCGCTAGTCTAACCCAAGATTCATGCTTCTGGGCTAGAGTGGAAGAAGCACGAGACTGCTTGAATCGCGTCCAGAGGGAAGGTGATGTACGCATTCAATCTTTATTACTAGAGAATATCAACAAATTTGATCAATATGCAAGGGAAATGGTTGACAGGAAAGAGGTATCTATCGATGTCTTGGCGAAAAATTCAAGCTACAAACTATTTGTAGAAGAATGGAAAAAATTGAAATTTCAGCTCCAGATTTTGCCATCTCATTTTCCTAGTTTCCCTGATGGAGAGGGAAGTAGTTCCCGTGCTTATATTGTAGGGAAGTGAAGATGTTGTGCATGGAGTCGACTATTTATCAGAGTTCCATGCAAATAATGTGGTCTTAGACTGCATCTGTTATATATTGATTCCCAAGCATGTGGGAATGAATCAATGATGTTAAGCACAAAACATTTGTTGTGCAAGTATTATCATTCATTGATCCTCTTTCACTTCATATATCCAATGCTAAGAAATTAGATGAAAAAGCTTTCAGATTTTGGTCTAAGCAACTAAGAGAAGTTCAGAGAGAGAAAGTCACACTTACTGCAGAGTGACATTCAGCAGGATTGGGTTGGAACACTACCAAGCGTGGAACAAGACCTGACAACCCAGATTTAACAACAGCAATGTTGTCTTAGGAGAATGGATTTAAGCATTTCTTGACTTTTTTCACAGAACTATGTTTCTAGCCTGCAAATTATGTCAAACCTTCCGCTATAACTATCAAAAGTTTCTGCCGGAAACCAATGAACCATTTCCTTGCATCTAAAATCTACCAGAGTAATATCAGTTCTCAACCAACACAGAAAGTGCAGGTAAATAACTAAAGGTCTCCAAGATTTGGATCGTTGGTAGGCAAAGGAAAGACAGCATGGGTTCTTATCCAAAAGGAAAGGAAGGTGGCTAAAGAAATTGGCACTTTCTAAATACAAGGGTCCTGGTTTGAAGTTTTTCTCTGTCATCACCAGCGTTGTGGAGAGTGAAGAGCATATAGCACAACAGCCAACCCAATCAATCTAAGTTGACATTTGAAATGGGCAGGTCAACAAGAGTGCATATAGCTGTCCAAAGCCATATAAAAACCAAGGAATGGTTCCGGTGCACTGTAAGGATAAAAAAAGCACAGTAAGGATTCCATGCAGCTTCATGTTTCTGTTACAGAGTCACCTAGCACTGGAATATACCTCTAGGTGTGCAGATCAAGACAAATCAATTCGACTTCAATCTACAGAAATTTTATCTGTCAAGAATGAAGTTTAGGAGCAAAAGATCTAACCAATAGCTAATATAGAGGTTTGGAGTTTCTAATAGGAGCACCACAGCTTGCAATTCAAGGAACAATAACTTCCACCTCAAAATAAGAATACTACATGAAGTTTGTTTATGCTATAGGAGCAACATCAAATGAATGAAGAACTTGTTCCAGAATCATTCTTCTATCCGTTCCAAGTGGAACCTCAGATCCATCAGCATGAGAAATATTTAGAAGGTAGAGCTTTTTTGATGCAACAAATGCTGCAGCAAACACCCTTTTCATTCCTCCCCTGGTACTATCAACTTTATATTCAAATTCGTACACTCGGAGGCCTCCCATGCCCGTTCTTTCAGAAACCGATACAACCTCAGCTTCTTTAGTACTTTCCTACACCCAGAAAAACGAAAGTGCATTTAACTTTCCATCCAGCACACATATCATCAAGGATATAGATTATTGTACTGGAGACAAACAGGCAGTAGCATCCATATGTGTGGCAGACCATTTCATTACTTTGGTTGACTACTAAGACATCTCTATTCACCATCAGAAAATAGTGCTTTTAATAGATTTCTGGTGCAAAATTTTGAAATCACAATCGTTTTAAGGAACAGAACCATTCCTGCTAATCTTCTGAGAACACAGAGATAGCTCTTAATAAATAAGTCTCTGACAAAAACCTATCCATCATGTTCTCGACACAGGAATTCAACTTTTGAACCTTTTGAGAAGTAAAACCTAGCACATTGGTTCATCCATAGGGAATGTTTTTCAAAAGAAACCTTAAGAAGTAATAACCCAAAATAGGTAGTCAAACTTTCCCTTGACAGTAGTCTAATAGTATTAATTAATCTACAAACTGAAAACATGTTAAGCTTACAACATTCAGGTTCAGAATGTGGGGGAAGGTTGGTCGGGATTGGCTACGCAGGATCACTAGAAGTGGCAGATACAAATGATACAGCCAGATATAAACACCAACTAGCTCCCAGGGAAAGTTATCATTAGCTACCCCAGTCCAATCTCATTAACAATGACCGTCTGCTGATTAATTCGACAGAATTATTGCAGATAACAAAACTTCTAAACTAATCATTGAAACCCTAGGTCCCTCTAAAACTTGGTCCATAATTGATTTGTCCAAATCTTTGATCGATAATGCAATCTCTCACTCAAGCACAGTAACTTACCATCAGAACTTCCAAATATAGTTTTATTTTGAGATCTCTTGTTGGTTCCTCTTCTTTCATATGAATCATTTCCTTAAGAACTTCCATTAATTGTCTTTAATAACGTGTCTCCTCTCAAATGCTCAGCTCATGCCTTTTTTATTTGGATATGAGCAACATGAAGATGTGGGAAAGAAATTTGTCCATCCACAACTTTGAACAATAAATAAATCTACCAAATATAGTCACAACAGATGCTTTTACAAGTATTGGAAAGAGGGATTCATAAGGGAGCTAAAACTGAATTCCAAAAACAAGGCTACCAAACCATTTTCCAAGGTTTTCCTTTCTCATTCTGTTAGGTATTAGGACCAAAATATCAAAAACAAAGCTAGAAACAAAATCCAAATATTCCAAGCTTTGTAAGAACAGAAGAAAATCTAAAGTAAAAATAATAGCAGCATGAAATGGGAAATAGAAGAGGACCTTGCGCCTTTCTGCAGCAATGAGCTTTTCTGCAACAAACTGTGGAGTTCCAAACTGTTCAAGGCTTGTAATCCGAACAGGGGTGACGACAATTCCCACATTATTAGACCCTTTATTGGCATCTTCAAACAGAACAGTTGCCCCAGCTTTATCAACCTAGATCAATTCAGTACTAAACTAAAATTTCCAGTCCACACAGCCCAAATAAAAATGAAGGATAAACTCAGCACACAATTCTTGTCAATGATAAACCTGAATCCAAGAAGACGGTCTGAGTAGGGTAAATCCCTCTTTAGTATCTGTGTATCTTTCGAGTGGTAAAACTTCATTCGCCGTCGCCATGGATAGGCTATTCCACAAAGGGTTCCATAATAACACTGAAACATTAATGGTGGACAGCTTGAACAACAACAATCTTCTGTTCAAAGAAGCTGTTTTGGAGTCACCATTATTGCAAGAAGGAAGTGATGAAGCAGAGACTGAAGAGAGGAAGAGAAATGTGTTTGGCTTTTGACTGGGGATAACATTGTGAATGTGGAGGGAAGAATGATGGTGGTTTGGAACTGCCATTGGTTGACACACAACATGAAAAAAAGAGGATAAAACCAGAACAAACTACAAAGCGAAATATGAACTAGAATCCTTGTATGGACACGGGCCCAAGGCAGAACAAGTGTTTTGGGAAAAACCTTGACATATATACTTTTTAAAAAAATAAAATAAAAAAAATAAAGAAACATTAGGAATTGATTAAAAAAAAATTAAAAAAATTATTAAAATATATAATTCATCATATTAATAATAAAAAGATAACTCTCAGCTTATATAGATAGCTTTTAGTTGACCTTTTTGGAATTGTTTAGTAAAGAAACGTAATATAATGTAGATGAAACTAAAAAGAGTGAGAATCAATGTGGAGATGGTCTAGTGAAAATACTCACGATCGATTGTCATATTGTATTTGTCTTAAAATTATTGTCCAGTTTTAATTTTCATTTTTAGTAAATTATTGTCGATTTTTATTTTTAATTATATTAAAAATAAAATTCCAAACTGGACAATAATTTTGGAAAGGGGAGTAGTAAATATGAGGAAAGGAAATTTAGGATGATTTAAGAAAAGGAACAATAGATTTTATAGGTAAGTAAAAAGAAAAAAGTTCTTTTTGTAAAAGTTAGGTATAGTAGTAGTTTGAAAAAACAACATAAAGATTATCGGGTTTTGGCAAGTCGATTTCTAATTTCCAAGCCTGATGAACCTCGTGAAGTCCGATCTTTCAAGCTTAAAAAATTGTCCACACGAATAATGTGATGAATTAATATTATTGATGATGCAGTGAAATTTGAGTAAGATAATACTCGTTCTGTTCCAAAATTATTGTCCAATTTGATGTTTTACTTTTAATATAATTTAAATTATAAATAAAAATACAAACTGGACAATAATTTAAGTACAAAGTAACAATTAGCAAGTAGAAGATACAAACTAAAACACAGGTGGAAGGATAAAAAGCATGCGCGTGAAATTCAGTGAATCAGTGATCAGCGACTCACAATTCACAAACTTCCTTAACTTGTAATATTGCTTCATAAAAAATAAGGAAATGTTTCCTTGTTGAAAAACAAGAGTCAAAAAGGATTTCAATAGCAGCCTTTAAAATATGAAGTTTTTGCAGTATATAAGAGCTGATTGATCGTTAGTCCAAAGTTAAGTTACAATTGAGTCATGACCAAAAAAAAAGAAGAAAAAAAAAAAAAACTATCTGTAATCCGCTGGCAACCGGTAGCCGGACATCACAATTTTGTCAGCAGACATCTTGCCAATCTTAGGCATAACATGCCAGTGCAATGTCAAGTTGAAGTCCTTACCCCGGAGGTTGCTCCCCTGATAGATGCACCACAATTAGACACCAGAGAACAAACTATGGATAAGCCAGAAATTGGACAGAAAAAAACTCAACACTAAAAAACTTACCTGATCAACAAAACGATACTTGTTGCTGATATGAATCCAAAATTTTGCTTTTTCTTTAGAAGGAATGATGCTATCCCACAAAGATACCTGTAAATTTTAAACTCCAATTGGTCAACAGGAAACAAGCAACAAATAAAGGAATGCAGCAGATTTTGACGTGCACATATATAAAGAAAGCAGCTTGAATTCTTTGAAATTTACTAGCATGAGATAGAAGGAAATACAAGTTCCCAAAATAGTGTAAGGGAAAAGTAACAGTTTTAAGATTCCAAATTTACTTTTGTTTAACAAATCAACATCAAGATCCTGGCAAATGAATCTAACTAAAAAAGCAGCCATTTACCATAATAAAGGAAAACACAGTGCAATAGATGATTGGACTCGACAGTGACACGACGTATAAACAAACTGAAAAAATATATTACTGCAATGCTGCTAAATTAGACAAGGATCATAGTTGAAGGTATCGATGAAACAGAAAAGACAAATGTTATTGCATAACATAATACCCATACCTGATTCAAGGCGTTCTTTGGGGTTTCATACTCAGCTGCCACAAATGCAAAAACCTGCAACAGTAGAACACTATTTCAGTACCATACAAATCGCTTCCCTAAAATTGCAGGACAGAACTTCTGAAGCTAAAAGGAAGGTGGTTCATATACAGCATCTCCAAACCAACAAAATGTGATTTTTAAAAGAGAAACAGATCTGCCATGGTTGCTATTTTACCAAGTTAGGACAAGTTTAGGAGTCAAAAAACAACATTAATTTCTCTTCCAAGAAGATTTAAACTAGAAAATATTATATACAGGCATCACTTCCGACTTAAAACCGAGTGATGCTCAGTACTGAAACTCACTCACCAGAAGTCTTCATCTTGTTTGTGAATTCAATTTTTCCACTGTAATAGAATATCATCTCTTAATGGTATTTATAATACAAGACAGAGCTATGAACTGCAAGAACGAATCCTTTTCTGGAAGATCAATACAAAGGGTATCATACTTCAAAAAAGAAGCTATTTCTACAATTTCCTCTTGCACAATTATCTTAACAAAAGTTGATAACTATGGTAATCTGATTCTGATGAAGTAAAAACTTAAGAGTCAGTCAAAGGCCAAGAAGTCAAGAACTCTAGAATGAAAGAAACCTAACAATCCAAATTATCAATAAAAATATGTTCACATTAAAAGGAGCAACACTCAATAGCTAGTGCATCAGAACCAGCAGTAAAATAAATATATGGAGATCTATGAAATTGGAAATGGGCAAACCTGCTTTGTGTTCCACGTAAACAATGACTGCAAGTTTGCTGAGATGTTCAGGGTCAAGCTCACCTATAACATGTAAAAAATAGCACCAGCATCATTTCACAGGGTGTATATCCTTTAATTTCTATACTCACTTCCATTGCCTTTGATATAGATGAAATGCTTCACACAAGCATCTTATCAAAGCCATGATAACTTAAGAGACATAGGATACAAAAGATCTCTTTCAATATTGAACATATATTCCAAATAGAACAGGTGATCACAGAAGGCAATGGCTACAAGACGTAATTAAGATCAAAAGAATACCCACAAGAAGAAAGTCCCACACCTAATAAATAACAAAAATACTACAGTAACCTACTCCACATGAGTACAACTCCCATAAAAGCCTAATCCCGGGAATTCCCCAATAATTGATTGCTGAGACAGTCCATCAAACACAAGCAGATACACTGTCTAGGTTATTACCTTTTTATTCATCTATTACCCAATTCAATTAAACAGCGAGAATACACTGGAATCTAGCCATATATTACTGATAGTTTCTCACCGAAGATTTGTTTTGAGATACCATGTGGTCAACTCAAATTAAGATAAACAGAAATCCCGTAATTATCTCTCTGTTGACATAAACTAAAGCACTAACTAAACACCAGGAAAGAAAAAAGACTAATCAAATCTCAAACATAACATCATCTCCCAGTCAACTCCCAGCCGGCAAGAGCCAGAGAGGAGAAATCAAAACTAAAATTACTTCATAAATTCCACCAAATGCATTTAAGAAAACAAAAGACAAATCATAACTAGTAAGTTAAATCATAGACGCAAAAAAATAGCATACCTCGTCATCCCCATCAGGTTTCTTCTGAAACCAATTGATGTTCAAAACCTAAAAAAAATAGAGTAATCAGAAACAAAACCCCCCAAAAAAAAACGAAATTAAAAACAAAACCCTCAAACGAAAAGGACAGATCTGGTAGTGGAAAAAGGGAAAAAAAAAATGGAAGCAGGAAAGAAGAAGAGGAGGGATACCTGAACTTGGGAGGTGGGAGAAGGAGAGTTGAAGTTGTCGGAGTAAGAAACGATGGCACAGATTAGGGCTAGAATAGTCACCCCAAATGTCAGCAAAGCATTCGCTCTGTATCCGATTGAATGCATTTTTTTGGTTCTCTTTCCGTTTTCCCTCTCCTCCCCCTTTCTGATCGTTTTGAAGCTCTCTTATTACACTAAAACTACTTCAGTTACTTACCACTGCGATTTTTGTACTCCTTTTCAATATCCTTTTTTCCTTTTCTCTTTTTTTTTTATTTTTTGTGAAAATCAGTGAAAAACAGAGGGACCATGTTCTTAGTTGTAATAAGGACTTGGGCCTAAAAGCCCATTATAGAACCACACAAAAAAATACAATAGTACTAGCGGCCTTACACGCGCGCAGTCCCCTCTATCAAATTTGTTTTCAAACTCCAGTAAATGTGAAGGTAAGCACTTCCAGTTTTATAGTTTCGATTCTCTATCAAATTTAATTTGATTTTTCGCATCTGAATGTAGTTTTTCACCATTTTTCCTACTTATTGTGTTATGAAAAATTATAATGTTGATTTTTTTAGTTGTATCCATAATTTAGGGGTGTTCACGGTCCGGATTGACAGCAATCCGTAACCAAACCGTTCATTACGGTTTGAAAAATTTTCAATCCGTAACCGGACCGGATTGGTGTATAATCCGGACCAATCCAATCCGTTTTTAACGGTTTGATTTGAGCGGATTGGCGGTTTGGGTTTCTGATTGGACTTTTTCATTTTGGGCAAAAAATTAAACATTTTTTTGTTGTTGAACCTTTTTTAGGGGCTTTTCTTGAAATTTTTTGGACCTCTTTCAGCCTTTTTTTGGAGGCTTTTCTTAAAAAAAAATAAAAATTAGTCCATGGGGGATTTGAACACACAACCTTCAGCAAGCTCTAATGTAGAGGGAACAACAACTATGGCAATGGGACAACTTAGCACTTTCGATAAAAGTCTCTATTCGACGCTATATATACAAAACTAATATATTATTATTTTATAATATATATACGGTCCATTCTGGATTGGCAGACGGTTTGACAGTGCCAAACCGTAATCCGAACCAGATTGACCGGTTTTTAATTTTTCAATCCGCGGTTTAAAAATATAATTATAATCCGCCTGTTAATCCGAACCGATGACTGGATTTGGCGGTTCTACCGATTTGAGCCAACCCGTGAACACCCCTAGTCTATATGCATCTTTATATGTTTTTCACAGTACTTCGGTTAAATTATCCCTAGAAATTCATATGCATAAACATTTTACTGATTTTCAGTTACATAGTTCATGACAAATTCATATGCATTTCATCTAATTGGTTATACATTATGTTTAAGCTCTTATATGCATTCTACGATGATGCCAGATACATTTTTGCTAATTAGTTATTCATTCTGATGTAATGCTCATGTGCATTCCGCGATGATGCTGTATGCATTTTATCTAATTGGTTATACATTGTGTTTAAGCCATCGTATGCATTTCGCGATGGTGTCATATGCATTTTTGCTAACTGGCTATACAATCTGATGTAGTGCTCATATGCATTCCACAATGATGCCATATGCATTTCATTGAATTGGTTATACATTATGTTTCGCGATAATGCCATATGTATTTTCCCTAACTAGTACATTTCGCGATAATGCCATATGCATTTTCCCTAAGTAGTTATACAATCTGATGTAACGTTCATATGCATTATTCAATGATACCTTATGCATTTCATCTAATTGGTTATACATTTTGAATGTTGTAATACTCCATACTTTTTGCCTTGTTTGCATAGCAGGTCAAAAGTTTTGTTCATGAAAACTATATACACAAAAGCATGCAAAAGAAAGATTCATGAAGCTCTAGCCCAAGAGGGACGCCAAAAGAAACGACATGATCATACTAAAAAAATGAGGGAACATGCATTTAAAGAGGAAAAATCACAAGTTGAAGGTACTGTCAGATCTGAGATGCCTACAAAAAAAGAGATATACAAGGCCAAAAAAAAGATGTAGAGGATGTTGCTAAATCTGTAGATGCCAAACCCTTTGTTGCAGAGACGGAAGAAACTGAATCAGAATTTAGTTGCAGGTGAACACCTTTCACTTTATGTAGATTGGTGAGAAAGTTGAAGGTTGAACAAAAAGAGGCCATCAGAAGCATTGGATTTGGTTCCTTACTTGACCTATAAATCTACAGTTATGATAAGAAGCTAGCAAAGTTCTTGCTCAAACATTTCAATCCAAACCAGATGACATTTTAGTTTGCTACAAAGCCTGAGGGTGCTGTAACTGTCCAAGAGAAAGATATTCCGTATGTCATTAATATGCCATATGGGTGGAAAAATGGGGAAAGTTCTATAGGTAGTAATCTCCAAGACCATCCAGACTACAAGAAATTCTTGGATATATGGCTGAAAAGGTAAAAACGTGTGAGAGATCCAAAAAATAATGGAACTCCAACATCTGCATTAGCTAAATCATTTTTGGCTAAGGAATGTCCAAGTGGGGATGTTTTCAAACGGGACTTTATTGTATTTGAGGTATCTTGTTTCCTCAACCTACACACAAACAACTTTCTGAATTACTCAATCCTGAGATCCTTGGTAAATATCAATGAAATATGTGACTACAATTGGTGTTATTCTACAATCAAGGCTTTGGAAACAGACACAATCAAATGGCAGTGTGATCCAAAAGCAGTTTTTGCGGTCCACTAACTTTTATGTTGGAATTTCTATAATCCATTTTAATTTTTGTAACAAAGAAATACTATTACCTTTACTGATTTGTCTAATATCTCCTTTTATTTTATGTAGTTGTTATACTTGGATAGAAATCAACCAAGAATCCAGTTCCCCAACGAACGGGTATTACCTGTCATAAAGGGATGGAGTCAGGACATGTACAATGAGAGAATGAAAATTTGTGAAGGCACTGATGTATCATTCATGAATGGCACAGTCCATAAACATCCTGACCTGGAATACAACCAATTGTTGATTTCATTCATTGTAGAAGAAGAAGAAGAGAAAAATACCACAAAAGAAAAATTAGACTCTATCAAAGATGCAATGCAGGTAATCCATGTATTTATGTACATATGGGTTTTTAGTTATACACATAAGGGTATCTAAACTTGAATAGCAAATAGGAGCCGATTGTGTCCGATGAAGATGAATATGAAAGTATTGGTAATTCCAAAGAATCGGATTCGGACTTGGCTGAAATAGAGGTTATTGAATTGTTTAATTTTTTGGTTTTGTGTTTTGATTCATTACATAATTTGCACTTATTGGTCAGATTATTATGCATTCTTTCGAACCTACATAAACATAAATTTGGACTTGCATATACATGGGGCCCGATTCAGTCATTTTTAAATTCTCAAATGCATGATTCGAGAAGTGTATAAACATAGTATTATAACCACGTAAACATAATTTCATAAATATATATATACATGAATCTCAAATTCAATCCCTTAAAAACCCATCCCATAGATTATTCTTATCCTCTTAAATTTCTAATAAGCAACTTAGGGTTTCCAAAAGTCATTTAGTTGAGCCCTTAAAAGTTTCATTGAGACCATGATTTTTCATGGAGAACATGTGCAAAAGCACATGCACTGGGCATAGCGAAATCTGAAGAATTTAGAAAGGGAATTAAGGTAGCGAAGTTGTTAGTTACTAACAAGCTACAAGATTCGACTACAACCACATGTTCTGCCCAGATGGAAGAACAAAGATCAAGCATAGTAGATGAGTTTTGGGAAAGTGAAGACTACCACAAACTTCTTAGAAGGACGGAAACTAAATGTGAGAAGCAAAATAAATACAATATTCCAATTGAAAATGCAAAAGATAATGTTGATGATGGTGGTCATAAAGGAAAATGTGATATAAACAGTGTTGAGAAGATGTTCATATCGAGGGTGATGAACAACCACATGTTTTGATAGCGATGAGGATCACATTGATAGTCATGAAAAAGGAAACAGTTCATCCAAATGGAGAAGTGAACGAAGATGACGACAACATGGGCGATTTTCCTCCTACAGAAGCATACGTTTCAGAAGCTCGACAAATCGCATTTGAAACAATCAAGTCTACATAGACCCATAAAACCCAAGATGCAGTTCTTAATGTGGTGTTCTAAGTTGAAAGATTTGTTGGTCAATAGTCTCAATCTATAGCTATCAAAGATTCTTCACCCATTGATGTATGGAGTACCGAAACTTAGCCCACTATGGTTGTTGCATGTGAAAGAGCTGAAAGTGATACTAAAATAGCTCATTCTACGTCCAGAGGGTCCAGTATTTGATGAAACTCCTCACCAACCTTTGCTATCTGACCCTTCTACATCCCTCAAGCTGGTCGTGTATGATGAAACACCAAAACTTGATTCATTAATTATTTGAATTTGTGAAAAAGTTGAAGAAAATCAATTGGAATGCCACCTAAGAAGGGAATACTTAGATGCAAAGTTTCAAACACCTTCCCCTTCATTGCCTCTGGAAAAATTCAACAAGTAAATATTTATTCTTGATCCTTGTTGAAGCTGAAGAAAATAGGTTTTCCCTTCAAATGGAGATGTTCTTGATCCTTGTTGAAGCTGAGGAAAATAGGTTTTCCCTTCAAATGAAGAAATATTTACCTGTTAAATTTTCCCATACGCAATGAAGGGAAAGGTGTTTGAAAATTTGCATCCGAGTGTTCCCTTCTTAGGTGGCATTCCAATTGATTTTCTTCATCTTTTTCACAAATTCAACTAATTAATGAATCAAGTTATGGTGTTTCATCATATACGACCAACTTGGGAGATGTAGAAGGGTCAGATAGCAAAGGTTGGGGAGGAGTTTCATCAAATACAGGACCCTTTCGGGATGTAGAATGAGTTATTTTACCATCACTTTCAGCTCTTTCACATGCAACAACCACAGTGTGCTGAGTTTTAGTACTCCATGCATGAAAGGGTGAAAAATCTTTGATGGCTATGGATTGAGACTGTTGACCAATAGATCTTTCAACTTGGAACACCACATTAAGAACTGCATCTTGTGTTTCAGGGGTCCATGTAGAATTGATTGTTTCAGATGCGATTTGTCGAGCTTATGAAATGTATGCTTCTGCAGGTGGAGAATCGCCCGTGTTGTCTTTATATTCATTCACTTCTCCATTTGGATGAACTTTTTCTCCTTTGTCATCACTATTGATGTGATCTTCATCGCTGTCAACA